TATATAGTTATTGTTATTGTTAAGTGCCACAAGTCAGTTCTGATTCATAGCAACACTGTATAGGGTTTCCTTGGAGTGGCTGTTGAGTTTGAAACACCAACCTTGTGGTTTAAACTGACCTTGTGGTCCTGTGCTTTAAACTGGACTCTCATATATATATTCCACTCTTCCTGCCATACCCATTCAGCGTGTGTCTCTGTCCATGTATCTACCCTCAGAACATTGTTGTTCTAAGTATATATATATAAACCTTGGAATGAACACACACACACACACATACATATATATAACCTTGGAATATATATATTTGTTGTTGTTGTTAGGTGCCATCAAGTTGGTATCAACTCATAGCAACCTTATGCACAGCAGAACAAAACACTGCCCAATCCTGAACCATCCTCACTACTGTTGCTACTCTTGAGTCCATTGATGCTGCCACCTGGCCAATCCATCTCGTTGGGGGTCTTCCTTTTTTTCTCTGACCCTCCACCTTACCAAACATGATATCCTTCTCCAGCGACTGGTTCCTCATGACATATATATACCTTGGAACAACAATATTCTGAGGATAAGGTACATGGACAGAGACACATGCTGAGTGGGTATGGGAGGAAGAGTGGAATATATATACGAGAGTCTGGTTTAAACTCATAGAAAACCCTATGAGTTCGCTATGAATCAGAACTGACTTGATGACATTTAAGAAGAACAATAACTATAACTATAACTATAACTAACTATATAAATATGAGTCCTTGTATGGCGCTGTGGGCTAATGTGCCAGACTGCAAAGCCGTTTAAACTGCAAGGTTGGAGGTTCAAGCTTACCAGCTGCTCCTTGGAAACTCTATACAAGGTCTCTATGGGTCGAACTGACTCGACGGCACTTAACAACAACAACATATATCCCACAGATTTATAAGAGTTTGAAAGAGGATATTGGTTCATGAGTTTTTACCTTTCCTGCAAGTGTAACCATGAATGTGATGGAGTATACAGCAGGCAAAGTAATGAAAATTTCTGAGATATTATCAAATATCTTAAGGCAATGAGTATCTGAGCCTGGGAGCTCAGGACCATAGTCTCAGGGAACACCATGGTCAATTGGCATAACATAGTCCACAAAGACAACATGATCCCACTTTGGTGAGTAGTGTTAAGGATATTAAAAGCTCACGAGTTGCTGTCTCTCCATGTGCAGAAGAAAGAATAGTGTTGAAAATTGAAGATGCTTGAAATCAACTAGTCCAATTTACCAATGTAACATGTGAACATCAGTTCCTAAGACTTTGAGACAAGAAGACCTACAAGGTACCTAACTACCACTACCAACAACTCTGAAAGGGATCACAAAGGTCCTGGATAAAGCAATGTAACAAAACTAAAAACAAAAAGCCAGGCTTACTGGTCAGAAAGAGACTGGAGGAACCTGAGATTATGGCTGTTTATCACCCTTCAGTTCTGTCAGGATGTCACCCTCGTGGCACAACTTTAAGCCAAGCAATAGGGGAAATGACAACACTAGTAAGGGATGCTAATTATGAATGATGAAAGGGTCAATCATTCAGAAACAAAGGGACAACATGTAAGTAGGGACCAAGGTGAGAAGGATGGGAAGATTGTTGGAATGGAGATGGTAGCCACAGGGAGGAAGCAGGATAACTGTTGTTCCATGGAGGGGATTGTAATAATTAAGGTCAAACCAAGTGTATGATTTGCTGAATGTAAAACTGATGATCTTGTCTATAAATCTTCACTCAATTCACACACACAAATTTTTTTTTTTTTTTTAAAGTGGCTGGTAGATTTAAACTACCAACTTTGTGGTTACCAGTCCAATGCTTATCCTACAGTGCCACAATAGGATTCAGAATTATTTGTGGGAACCTTTTAAATATGTCAGTTTTCAAATACCATCCCCAGAGATCCTGATTCTGGAAGGGGACGAGATAGAAGGTGGAGGTACTCTGGGGAGGCTACAGAAAGTTAAACTTGTTAAAGAAATCAGACGTATAGTACTGTAGGTGATCTATGAACTGAAGTTCTGCTATATTAAAAGCTCCCTGCCCATGAGGTCCTTGGCTTCTTTGTAGGTCACAGAAACACGTGTAAAGCCAAAGTCCATGTCTTGTCTGCATGTTACCATTTCTGAGATTTGACATTGTCTCTGGTACTATTATGTTTCCAAGGTCCATAACGTTTCTGACTGAGAGAAGATTCTTTTCTGGTAAAGGAGCACAAGGCTGCACTTTGTGTGTTAGATATCTTGAAAAGGACTGTGAGAAACACATTCAGGAAGAATTGTGTTTAGGAGCATAGAAATTGTATCTGTGTGTATGTGTGTGTTTAATATGACTGATAAAAGAAAGCAGTTTCAAGGAGAGGAAATAACTTGAAAATTAGAGACTTAAGAAAGGCACAGTTAAAAAATATTAGTACGTGAAACCTTCAAAATGATCTTAGATTTTTTTAGTTAAAATGAGTAACTTTAATTTGTTTCTTCAACAGTTAGTCTAGAACGCACCCTTACCTGAAGTAGCATAGTTTCCCATAGTGCGATACTAGCGTTCTTGCCTAGAAATAGAAATTGTTTCAATAATTGCAAAAAAAAAAATCAAGACAAAAACTCTTCTTTGCCAGAACTCTGTGGATATTGGGGTTCCATTTCACACTCTCTCCTTACACAGAGTGGTTACTTCATATGAAATGTACTATCCTGGCATCTATGAAGGGCTAGTCAGGGGGTCAGAAAGTCTTCATGACAATTTAGACTTTGTACTCATTTTAATAGTAACTGCAGAAATAAGCTTATTTGAAGTATCTGAATCTAAATGAACCTTCTTGAAAGATATCAAAAGAAAAAATAAAGACTGGAGCAAAAGTGAAATTTCCTGTTAAGAATGTTACCCACTAGGTCCTCTTGTACAAGTATTTGATAGAGTACTTTTTAAAAAGAACATTCAAATAGAACATGAAGAGTGAAGGAAAAAATATAACTGTATACCTTTCATATCCTAGTCATTGTTTTAATTGTATGAACTGAGCAATAATGACTGTAGACAGAACTGGTGTCTCATTTCTTAGTGTTACCTCTTTGGATAAAAACCTAACCCAGCTTCCTTGTACCTTCCAGAGGCTGCAAGAGTTCAGGTAACCGCGTTTTCCAGAGGTCTACCAATTTTGGATGAATTATATCAGGGAAAATCTTCAAAAGTCCTATTGCACCAGCCCCAACCAATTTCCCTAAACTGGCAAGCATAGATATTACCTGAAAGATGGGATAGAAAATGCTAATTAATTCAGGCGTATCTACCTTTTTATTTACCATTGTTCTGGATTGCCTTGATTCTTACATAGGCTAATCTTCTTGCAAATTATTACAGGCCATTCTGACTTATTCTAGAGCAAATCTAATATTTAGACAACCCATAACTCCAATTTTTCTCCTGAGTATAAAGGTGAGAAAAAAATGTATAAAACACAATCCAATAATAAATAGAAGATATCAATACACAGATATAACTATTATCTAATTAAAAGCATGCAAAAATAGTGCTGCACAGCTACAGATATGGTCAAAGGGAGAAGAGGAAATTCCAAATGATAGACATAGAATTTGAATGATACCTATGGATCAGATTCAGTCTACGCTTACTTAAAAAATATAAATTTCCATAAGCATTTCAGAAAAAGAAGACAATTTGCCAATAATAAATCTCCACGAGGGTTATTAGTATGTTGTTTTTAAGTGTCATAGAGTTAGTTCCAACTTCTAGAGACCCAGTATCGGGTTTCCAAGGAGTGACTGGTGGGTTTGAACTGCACACCTTGAGGTTCAAACCGACCTTGCAGTGTAGTACATTATCCTGCGGCACCATACCAGGACTCCATTAATATAGCACAAGATTTATTATGTTATTTCAGAGATTTGGAATAGGTGTATGATTTTTATTAATATTTATTTGGAATTTGATGATCTCTATCAGCTTAAATTTATTCCATATTGTTTCTTTGTAACTCACTCACAAGAAGTCTAGCGAGAAGTTGCTGTGGTGAAGGAAGTTTCACTAGAAAAAGAAAGTAATTTTCATTATTACTGTAAGTGGGGGCTGAAAAATTCAGATAGGGGTTGGATATCAGATCAGAGTATTATAGGAAACACCTCTTTCATCAGAGGAAAGCTTTGTTATGGTTTTAAATGTACAGACCAGCTCCAGTTGATAGGACAAGTGCAGTCGACTCCTTGGCATTGAGTTTCTTCCTCTCCTCTGCCATAATTAAGATTCTGATGATATTAAACAGGTGGGCCAGAGTTCCTGTGTATTCCGCTGGTACCACAAAAGTCAAGATTCTTGGCCATAGCACCTGTGGAAAATATAGGGAAAGATACAAGGATTGTTTACCCTTTTTCATTCCAAGGATGGTTGAATTCTTTATCAATTATATTCTGCTGGTACCACAAAAGTCAGAATTCTGGACCATAACATCTGGAGAAAACACAGGGGAAAATGCAAGGATCATTTATTACTTTTTACAGGTCCTCACGATGTGGTTTTCTCTAATTTTTCTCTCAAAACTTTTCTCTCATTCATTATCATTTTGCTATTAAGGTCAAGCCAAATGAAATCATTAAATGGAATCTCTGTGGTACATTAATATTCAACTGCTTATTGTAGTGAGTGTTGGCCAGTGTTTCTCATGGGGTTGTGGTTTGAATTTTGGACAGGGCAATTCTTCACTGTTAGTTAATGTTCCAGGTACTGCACCATATGTAATATTCCTAGGCTTTACTCATCAAGTACCTATAAACTCCTTGTCAGTGTGATGACCAAAATGTCCCACATACTTCCAAAAGCTCCAAGGAGGAGGGGAACTTCCCACATGAGAACTACTGGGAGAAGACAGCAAGTCAGTTGCTGTTACTCTGGGTTTCGGGCTGTGGTCTTCCGACTTTGGATATCTGGAACATCTATGGTCTCTTTAATCAGTGTGTTTCATGTCCCCTGAAAAAAAGACTTTGTCCTAATGGAAACTTTGGTGATATCTTCAATGTCTTCCACTTTCTTGCCATTTATATTTAGCCAAGTTCATTCCTTTTGTCATCGTATCTTCCATGCCCATCCATGTTTTCATTCCCACTATATCAGTCAACTCCAGTTGCTATGAATTACATCTGAACTCGTGTCTCTTTTCTTTGCTTTTAGTTCACTGCGTAGTGGTTATGAATCGGGCTGCTAACCTCAAAGTTGGCAGTTTGAAACTACCAGCGGTTCCGCGGGAGAAAGTTGAGGCGTTCTGCTCCCGTAAAGATTTACAGCCTCGGAAACCCTGTGCAGGGTCACTATGAGTTGGAACCGACTCCACGGTACTTAACAAAAACAACAACAAAGCCAACCATAAGTGTTGACAAAATACCCTTACCTGTGGCATTCCAATGACCAGTGGGTCCAGGGTTTTTAAGACCTCAAGGCTTTTTTCTTGGACAGATTTCTCCCCCTTTTCATCCTCATGGGAGTTAGTTTTCATTGTTTTCTCCTTTAAGAAAGATTACACAAATCATTTGCTAACAGTCCTTAATGTTCTTGGAAGAAAGGCCTGGTGAGTTGATTAAGAAAAACCCAGCCATATAAAACCCTGTGGAGAACAGTTCTACTGACACACATGAAATCACCATGAGCTGGTGTAGACTTGGTGGTAACTGGTTCTGGTTGTGTTTAGTATAATTTAGAAGTTATATCAGTAAAAAAGAACTGAGAAAACTAGAGACTGAAAAGCTATTGATAAAAGTAGTAAGGTTGAAATAGAACTTTAAAACTAATTATTAGAGCAAACTCTAGCCCCTCCCTTTTTTTTATTAAGCCGGTTTATTAAGCTACTGCACATAATACTTGAAACGACACCCTTTTCATACCAGATTCTTGGTGGATGCTGCAAACTGGGAGAAGACATAATCAATCAGGGGCCATCCTTCTCGGGCTTCAATGTAGCTCTTTTCACACATGGTTTGGATGAGGGCAAGGATGGAATTTCTCACCTGCAGTAAGAAAAATAAATTTGTAGAATTTTTGCTGTGTTGGGAATAATGAAATTTTAGCTTCTTTTATTATTTAAACTTCATGGATCATTTATTGTAAACCTGCATAAACAAGAATATAAATTGAGTGATCTATTGCCATAAATAAATGGAGCATGTTTAGGTTATGATTAAGTTACCAAAAAATTCTTGTTAGCCAAACTCTTCTTTCCAGCATCCAAAGACAGATCTTCTCTTACTAGACTTTATGACATTTTGATAACTTTGGGCTAAAATAATCGATTTGGGCTAAAATATTGCATAACTTTAGAAGTCTTCAGTGGCAGATAGTATATTTAAGTATAGGTCCACGATGCTTCATATCCCATTTCAAAATCCAAAACACTTAGAATGGTGGATTTTTTTAAGTTTGGCACTAACTCATTTGATAGCAAGACACAAACTGAATAGATACAAAGCTACTTACAGTTTTATTTATTATATGTAATATAGAGCTATTCACCACAGACTCCTGGTGTGACACTGTAAGATCAGCACTGGACTGTAAACCCAAAGATTGGTAGTTCAAATCCACCAACTGCTCTTCAAAAACTCTGTACAGAGTCTCTATGAGTCAGAACCAACTTGATGTTATTCAATAACAGCACAACAATATCACAGTTATGGGGTCCTGGTGTGGCATTGTAAGATAATCACTGGACTGATAACCACAAGATTGGCAGTTCAAACCAACCAGATGCTCTTTGGATGCCCTATACAGGGTCACTGTGAGTCAGAACCAACTCAATGGCACATAACGACAACAATCACAGTAATGCATTTTTAAAATATAAAAAAATGATGAATTCTGACATATATTTAATCATAGAGATTAGAATAAGGAACTATGAACCTATATTGTCACTTACTGTCCTGGTGTGATGCTGTCGGATAATTCACTGGATTACTGCAAGGTTAGTTTGAACTGCAAGGTCAGCTGTTTGAACTCACCAGCTGCTCCTAGGAAACCCTATACAGGGTTGTTAAGAGTTGGAACCGACGACTTGACAACACTTAACAACAAAAATTGTCACTTATTAATAATTTGGTTTTAATTTATTTATCAAATTGCTTTCCTACAGGACAGAAAGCTCATGTTTAATCCTTTAGTGAATGACTTTAAATGGCAGGGGGAAAGAAAAGAAAAGACCAGGAAGGCATGGCTGTATGGTGGTAGAAGCTGTTAGTATGAAAACACTGAGCAGTCTGCATGAGGCAGGGGGAAATGCACACCCATTTTATGTTTTTTTTTTGCCTAGGCAGCTGGCCTTCTTTAAAATTCCTGTGCTCTTTTATTCTCCCTAAACTAGTATGGAGTTCTGGTGTGGTGCTGGAGGATAAGCACTGGACTGCCAGGTCAGTTTGAATCACCAGGTCTGTGGTTCAAACTCACCAGTTGCTCCTTGGAAACCCTATACAGAGTCAGAACCTACTCAAAGGCCCTTAACAGCAACAGCAACAACAACACACTCTTCTCATATTTCTCCTATTGGGTTGGTATGTTAATGGATCTGGTTTTGATGATCACTTCATTTTTATTTATTGCCTAGTTTTTATTATTTTAAGCATAGTCACAAGTAATAAAAGTCTTAGGGGAATTTTCTCATCATCATTGACTTCTGTGTAGGGTTTTATTCCCAAACAAACTGTGATTTTCATTGAAACAAAACAAAACAAAGAACAAATGGCTCTCTGATTTGTCATAGAAGAAGTTGTATATCTTTTTTAACATCAAATATATTAATTAATTAATCAGGAAATATTTGAGCAACATACTACAGCAAAACTTTCACTAAGTGCTTCCTGGTTGGAAAATAGGATGTCCATGGTAAGAGTGGTGTTCAGGATTTATTATGTTTTAGATGAAGAGAGATTATCATTGTAATTAGCAATCGATTATTAAACTATTTGACGACTACAGCAGAGTAATGACATGGAAAATTTTATTTTACACTGAGAAGTTACTGAGCTGAATGTACTTTAGGATTTTATTTTAGTGTAGCTTATCTTTTTGTAAAAGATATTGTTCTTTTAGAAATAGAATTGATCACTGAATTCTTTATTAAAGCAATCTCATAAATTGGTTCTTAAGAATCAGAGTCATTTAATTTATTCTTAAAACTATCATTAACCAAATAAAAATATCTATCAATTCTCTTACTTTTACATTGGGGTCATTCATGACTGCCTTGACTGTTCTTTCAATTGAAGTCATGTAATCTCTCAGCTTGGGCTCTGAAAAACAGTCAGAAAAATGAAGAAACCAATTCAATAAGAGTACTTAACACGAAGGTTTCACACAGTGGCTGCAACAGTGGGTTCAAACATAATAATTGTTGTGAGAATGGTGCAGGGTTGGGCAGTGATTCATTCTATTGTACATATTTATGAGATGGAAACAACTTAATGGCACTTAATAACAATAATAGCATATTTATGCTAGAATTGGTGAAAACTCACTAGAATTATGGTGCATAGTTGAAATGTCTCTTGTCCTTACAATTCCTGTTATTCAACTTCTATCTACCCTCTTCTTTCCTTACACTCTAAGGATGTTCGGGTGTAAAGCTATAGGTTAATGTGCCAGACTGCAAAGCTGTTTGAACTGCAAGGTCGGCAGTTCAAGCTCACCAGCTTCTCCTCAGACACCTATGCAGGGTCGTTATGGGTCGGAACCGACTGGAAGGCAATTAGCAAAAGATGTTAGTAATGGATTCCTGGTGTGGTATAGTAGGATAAGCACAAGACTGCTAAACTGTAAGGTTAACAGTTCAAACTGGACTCGATGGCACTTAACAACAAGGATATTAGTAGATTCCGTTGTTCCCTATTACATTTTGTTTTATCTTGCTAAAGGTCTTAGGTTTCAAAATGGATTCAATACATCATGACCAATGTACCCGCTCTAAAATGTGTGCGATTGCTTCATATTTCGTGTCTGCTGATTCTTTAATAAATACCAGTGCTAATTGAATTTAAGAAGTCTATGTCAAGCTGTCCACCACTCATTTGTCAGTTTGTCATACTGTGGTGGCTTATGAGTTGCTATGACTCTGAAAGCTATACCACAGGTATTTTAAATACCAGCAGGGTCACTCATGGTGGACAGGTTTCAGATGAGCTTCTAGATGAAGACAGACTACGAAGAAGGAGGGACAAACTGCTTCCGAATATTTAGATACCGAAAACCTTATGAATAGCAGAGAAACACTGTCAGATATAGCGTCGCAAGATGAGCCTCTTAGGTTGGAGGGCACTCAAAATGCAACTGGGTAAGAGCTGCCCTCTCAAAGTAGAGTTGGCCACATTCCACGGGCTGTGAATGGAGTACAGCCCGTGGAAAAAAAGCCCATGGGACCTTCATTTGCTGATGGAGCACAACTCAAAATGAAGAGAAACTGCTATAAACATCTATTGAAAATTGGAACACGGAATGTACAAAGTATGAATCTGGGAAAATTGGAAGTTATCAAAAATGAAATGGAATGCATCAACATCGATATCTTAGGCATTAGTGAGCTGAAATGAACTGATATTGGCCATTTTGAATCTGACAACCACATGGTTTACTATGTAGGGAATGACAAATTGAAGAGGAATGGTGTTGCATTCATTGTCAAAAAGAACATATCCAGATCAGTCATGAGGTACAATGCTGTCTGTGATAGGATAATATCCATGCACCTTCAGGGAAACCCAGTTAATACCACTATTATTCAAATTTATGCACCAACCACTAAAGCCAGTGAGGATGAAATAGAAGAATTCTACCAACTTCTTCAATCTGAAATCAATCAAACATGCAATCAAGATGTATTGATTATTACTGGTGATTGGAAAGAAAGGTTGGGAGCAAAGTAGAAGGATCAGTAGTTGTAAAACATGCCCTTGGTGATAGAAATGATGCTGGAGAACACATGGTAAAATTCTGCAAAATCTATGATTTGTTCATTTCAAATACCTACTTTAGACACCATAAGAGACAACTATACATTTGGACCTCACCAGATGGAATACATAGAAATCAAATAGACTACATCTGCCAGAAAGAGATGATGGAAAAGCTCTATATCATCAATGAAAACAAGGTCAGGGAAAGACCATCAATTACTCATATGCAAATTTAAACTGAAGCTGAAGAAAATGAAAACATGTCCATGAGAGCCAAAATATGACCTTGAATATATCCTACCTGAATTTAGAAATCATCTGAAGAACAGATTTGATACATTAAACACTAAAGACCGAAGACCAGAAGAGTTGTGGGATGACATCAAGAACATCA